GAGCGGGGAGGGAGGGGGAGGGGGAAAAGGAAAATGAGGAGCTAATTCCAGGAGCCCAAGAGGAAAGCGAATTTTGAGAATGATGAGGGCAACAAATGTATAAATGTGCTTCACACAATTGATGTATGTACGGATTGTGATAAGAGTTGTATGAGCCCCAATAAAATGATTTTACAAAAAAATGCATGCAGAGCTATTGATTGAGAAATTACTATTCAAATCAGATCAGAATTCAAAAACATCTGCAGGAATGCACTTAGTGCAGCATTGTTTATAGAAATGAAAATTTTTTAAAAGTGAAAATATAAACCTGTGTGAATTTTTTCCGACATGATAAGATGGGTTAAATATGATACATATCCATTAACTGGAATACTAGAAATTCTTTCAAAATAATGGTAATATTTATATTTATTGAAATAGAAAGTTATCCCACTCTGGTGTTAAATAGAAAGAGTGCAGAACACTATCTATAAGATGATCCCATTTAAAAAAATCTATGCATATATATTTGTAAATGTCTGAAAGTATATATGCCAAAACACTGCTAATGTTTATCTCTGGGAGGGACAATGTTTCATTTTTATATATTCAATTATTTATTTATGTTAAGCCAAAGGGAATAGCTTATTTTGGCAGATAGTGTGAAAGAAAATGAAAATGGCATACATTAGTAACATAACTCAATATCCTCAATTGGGTATACATGTGATGCGTTTTCTTGCTTTCCGGTGTTCTGCTAAATCACCACACCTAAGCTGCTGTATAAATGTGATACACTGAAACTTATCATGACTGCTTTTGCTTACGTTCTGATTCTGAACAACACTTTTCACAAGCTTCTTCAATTTCTGGGTCCGTCTCAAGATCAGTATCATCCAAGGATGGACCACCAGCCCCTGAGAAGTCTGTTCCATTTCTTAACAATCTGGAAAAAGTCTTCTCTCTTTCAAGTACTTCTTGATATTTCTCTTGGGACTCCGGATCAGCTACAGCGAAAGGAGCATCATCAGACGTGTGCAATGTTGGTGCATTCATGAAACAGGATCATTTTCAGAGGTGGCTTCTCTTGATGTGGACGTCGCCTGGACTCTACCCCAGTTCCTGGACCAGAGTTCTGCAAGCTTCAAGAGTTCAGTTGGACGTCTCTGCTGCAATTTTTATCTAGGAGAACATTTTCAATTCTCGAAACTATTTCTTCCATAACAGTGTTTCCTTTCTCATCTTCCCAAAGTGATCCTGTCAATTTGAGTCATTTTACTGCCCAAATTAAGTTGTCATGCACAGATTTGGAAAAGAGGGCATTCAGCAACTCCCAAAGAGCAATCTGCAGAATGTTTGCTCTTGTGACCTGTCCGTTGGTCCTCTTGATCGCCCAGGAAGAGGACAAATGCATGAAATCGTTTTCGGATCGCTTCATTCCCTTTGGCAGCTTGATCTTTAAGTTCCTATTTGGCCCGACATCTTTGAAGTAACAACTGGCCCAAGTTGCTGCTCTGTGCGTTGTCAGGTGATGAGACAGGCAGTTGCACAGATGAGCTCCCATATGGAAGTCTGGGATACAAGGGGCCTGTTGATAGCCGAGTCCCCCAAGGTCATGCAAAGTGTCATCTGTGGTGACCGGGCCATTCAGGGTCTCTGTAAATGGTTCCCTTTCAGTTTCAAAACAGCCAGGCTGCTCTGTAAGATGATTCAAAAGGTCCCGAACATATTCTGACAGAGTCGGACGATCTCCTCCATCATGGGATGCTGGTTGGCAGAATAACCTGATGAGCAAGACTCAGGAGCGTTGACGGACAGGGTGGACATGAAGATGGGCGCTACAGCCACCTGGGCTTTGGCCACTGTCGCCTCAGAGTTCTGCTGCTTCGGGGTTAGATCCTGTGAACCAGGTGGAGCTCTTGGGGGCCTCCCTGGTTCTGGGAGCACCCCGGGGCTGGGGCTGAGAGGCTGCTGGAGGCCAGTGGGGACGTCCCACTGGGCCCCAGGCAGCAGAGCCTTCCTGAGCCTCAGCCAGTGGCAGTGGCTGCAGGAAGCTCGGGTCTTTGGGCTGCAGTGGCAGTGAGTGCTCTGGCTGCGCTGGACCATGTTTTCTTTTGAACATCTGTAACTTTCGAATTTTCTACAAGGAGCATGTTCAGCTGGATAATGTTTTTAAGGGAACAAATAGGTTCACAACATAGCATTCAATGAAAACGAGATGACCAGGCAGTGTGACAGTCTGTACCACATGAAGGCATCCTGGTGGCACAGTGGATTTCGCAAGGTCAGCAGTTTGAACCCCCCAACTGGTGCAAGGGAGAAAGCTGAGGTTTTCTGCTCTGGTAAAGTTTGACAGCCTTGGAAACCCCCAGAGGCAGTTCCATCTGTCCTACAGGGTCAGTGTGTTTTATTGTCTTGCCTTGTTTGTGTGTTGTATGTACAGTATGACACCACCTTCTGAGCAGGGACCTTAAACAGATCTTTGTATGTAAACACAGCTTTTGTATAGAAAGACCAAGGAAAGCTAGAAGGATATCTGAGAGCAGTTTTCTAGGAAAAGAGGGCTGGTGATTTCCTTTCTCTCTCTTGGTTTTCTGATTTTTATGCAATGCACATGTGTTATTCATTTGAGAACGGTCGAAGAATAAGGTGAAAGACAAACAAGTTAGGGTTTCAACTGGAGGAACCCTCAGGGGTGGGGGCAGGGTAGGGGGGTGACTTACGTTTTAAGAAGAGTGCTCTCTCCGGGGGTGGACCGGTTTTCAACAAGGTACCAGGCGGGGCGCTGCAGGAGCCGGAGAGCCGACTGTTCTCATCTGTAACACATTGTGAGAAATGAGCGCTCGGTGCTCAGGCAAGCAGCACAAGTCAAAAAGGTAAAATACGCTAGGAAAAAAAAAATTCTCATGGAAACGCACCTTCACAGCAACAGGGCAACTCAAGGACCAGGTCAGGTCTAAAGGGCCTGCATTCTGCAAGCTGGCGCTGGCCAGGGTGAGGGGGAAGTGGCGGGCTTGGGGAGTCTGCCCATCAGAGGATGAGAATCCTCAACACCGTAGGAGGAGAGGCAAACAAACAAACAAAAAGATGCAGAACTTGCTGCTGTGGAGTAGTTGATGACCATTCACCGGGACCCTCTAGGACAGAAGGGCGAATCCCAGGATACAGGTGAAAAAAAGCGAGAGACCAGAGCTGAGTGTTCAGAAGGCCATTGTGAGATCCCCTTCAGGTGAGGGGGCGTTCCTAGGAAACCCAAGCCACGGTCCACCTGGTAAAGGAGGTGAGAATAGTCTCCTTTGATCTAAGATCTCCAGGGAGGGCTCAAGGTCAGGAAGGAGGAGAGGAGTCTAGGAGGGCCTCTGGGAGAAGGAAGCACTTGGGTTTGCCCTTGGAGGATGGGGAAGACTTGGACACAGAAGAGACGGTGGGGGGCTAGCTAGATGAGAAGGTATAGAGGGAGTCTGGAGCGGGGAGCTATGGAAGGTGTCTGAGGGAGGGCATCACATGAGCAGGAGGATTTAGGGCAAAGTGGGAGTGGAAGCAGGGGCCTGCTGGGAGGCTCCGGCCTGACCAGGGCAGCAAGGGTGGAGAAGGCCTGGGCAAAGGAAATGTTAGCTCTCTCTGGAGCTAGATATACCTCGGTCCTTGGCTCCGCGCGAGAAAGAATTCACGCCGAAGTCTGGTTCGTGATCCAAGTGAGTTTTATGAGAGTTAGAGGAAGTTTCAGGTTTACACGGCACCCAAGGGGCTCCTCCCGAGCATACAGCTTGTCTGGAAACTGCTCGGAGTCACGCAAAAGTGTCCCAAAGTTCCTCCAAAGTTCCCTCAGGGTTCTGCTGGCTCTCCCAAAGTTCTCCCGGCTCCTGCCTTTTCAAGGATTCCACAGGGAGGCGTGGTGGACGACCCCTGATAGACCCCATTGGCTGAATTGAATTCACCTGGCCTAGGTGGGCCAATTCAGGTTCACGCCCACCCATGCCTACCTACGGGAAACCTGAGCCTCTGGGCATGTGCAGTGCGCCACTCCTTTGTTCCCGTAGCTTGGCCCTCTGGGCATGCGTTAACGGACATTCCCCAGCCCTATGCTGGGCTACCTAACAGAAACATGGCAGGGGCAGAATTGCCAGGGCCTAGCAGCTCACTGGGAGTGAGGATAAAGAGCAGGGTGGAGTCTACAGACGGTATCCCATTTGGGGACTAGGGAAAGCGCTGTGTCCCTTTGGCCCCATTGAGCCTGCAGTCTGTGGAGCAAACACGTGGTGACCTGAGAAAGGGAGCATTGGAAGGGTCTTGTGGCCCTAAGACCCCCACTCAGGTGCTTCCTGGGAGTCAGGCCCTCTCAGGATGACATTTGGGGTAGTGAGCAGCGGAGACCTCAGCTGATGGTGCGTAAGGCGTGACGGGCCCAGTGGAAACCGAGCCCAGAGGCTCAGAACGCAGGCCCTGGGCCACAGTCTGTTTGCATTCCATCTCTGCCACCTACCAGCTGTGTCACCGAGGGTACACCACTGAACCTCTCTGAGCCTCAGCTCTCTCATCTGCAAAACAGGGATCATGAAGGCACCTAGCTCTGGTTAAGCGTGGGCTGACTGCGAAGTCGGCGGATCAAGCTCATGGGCCCCTCCAAAGGACAAAGATGAGGCTCTCTGCTCCTGTGAAGATGCCCAGTCCCGGGAACCCTATAGAAGGCCCGTGTGAGTCCCAATGGACTCTATGGCAGTGGGTTTTTTGCTTAGGCTACAGGGTGGTAATAAGGCGTAGCTGGACGAACTCAAGGAAAGTACTTAGATGAGTGCTTCGAACACAGAGCAAGTCTTAGCTGGTGCCACGGACTTAGCAGGGTCCCCAGCTCCTTGGGAAGAGACTGTGAATGAGGACAAATTGCATTTCAGGTCTGTCCAACTCACCCCTTTCTAGGGGAACCAACCCCCCCCACACACACACACTCATTCAGAGGACAACGATGAGGCCAGAGTTCTAAGTTTCAGGTCTCTACTGCTAAGATTCCTACCCCAATAGTTTTATTATTTATTCTTTTTGTTTTAATTGAGATACAACGACTGCTAAGCTGTGCAAATGACTAAGCACTCGATTACCAGCTGCAAGGTTGGGGGTCTTGAGGCGCCTCGTAAGACAGGCCTGGGGAGCTGCTTCCGGCCTGGAAAGCCCTGTGGAGCGGTTCCGCTGCATTCCCAGGGCAGCCCTGAGTCGGGATTGATTCACTGGCAACTAACAAGATTAAAAGGTGATTTAAAAAAATGACATCTAAAGAATTTTCTAGTTGGACTAGGTATCCAAATTCCCAGCGGATGTTATCTACACTCAAACTCACTGCCCTCGAGTTGGTGCCAGCTCATAGCAACCCTCTCGGACAGGCTAGAACTGTCCCTGTGAGTTTCTGAGACAATAAATCTTTATGGGAGTAGAAAGCCTTGTCTTTCTCCCTCAGAGTGGCTAGTGGTTTCGAACTGCTGACCTTGCAGATACACAGCCCAGCATAAAACCACTCCACTACCAGGGCTCCCATGGATGTTACAGGAGAATTAAATATTGAACGGAACCTGGCAAACTAACTCAGGAGAGATTACTGTCCATCGACTGTGCTCCTCAGGACAGCGTCCTCTCATCTGTTTGAATTGCCTCTCCCTGTTCTTTCCGATCCTCAAAATCTTTCTAGTTCTTACAAGGGTCAATTTTAGTGCCACCTCCTCCAGGAAGTCCTCCTTGGCGTCCCTGTCAGGGCACCCACTCTTTCCTCAGAGCCTCGTGGCACCCGCTGTTGTCCCCCTGTGAGGACAGGAGTGCTCTGCAGATGGGGTCTGGCTTCATCTCTCGTGTCCAGCCCAGGGCATTTTAGTCTCTCCTCCTCTGGCCTCTTTGCCTCTCTTTTGGCTCCCCTTTGTGCTGGTCTTAAGAGTTGGCACTTTGACAAGGTGGCTTCCAACCTCCTCAACTTCAACTCTCTTCAACCTGCCCTCTCCTCCCTGCACTGGCCTCCTCAGAGGGCTGCCCTGGGCCCCTGTAGTTCCCTCTGCCTGGCTGGTTCCTCCAGGCAGGGGGCTGCCTTTTCCAGAGCTGGAGCTCATGGCCACCGCCACCAACTGGCTTTCACTCATCATCTCATCCTCAGCAGCTTGTTACTTCCTCACAGTCTCATTGTCACTCCTCACTGTGGGAAATCCTCCCTCAGTAACCACTTCCCCAACCCAGGGGCCTATTTCATATCCCCACATAGGGGCAAACCTTCTCACACCGAACATTTCCCACCACTCCCAAACGCTCTCGCTCAGCTCAGAAAACACCCTTCTTCTTTTGGTTCAAACCAAACTCTTTAGAGCCTCCTAGATGCAATGCGATTCTCAGTCCCTTACTGCACTCGATCCCCATTCTATCCTGGCGCCCCTTTACTTTGCTCTGACATGCTGAATTTGCACCTGCCTCACCCTCACCTCAGGACCTTTGTAACTACTTCCCCTGTGTCCCAATACATATCCCTCAGTGGTCACAAGATACCACCACCAGCAGCAGTAATAACAGCTAACCTTTACAGGGTGTTTATTTTATTCTATTAAGAAGCCTTGGTGGCACAGCGGCTAAGCACAGGGCTGGGAACAGAAAGGTCAGTGGTTCCAGCCCACCGGCCGCTTCCCGGAAGAGCGGTGTGGCAGTCTGCTTCTGTTAAGATTACAGGAAACTCAATGGAGCACTTCTACCCTGTCCTTTAGGGGGCACTATGGGTCAGAATCAGCTCGGGAGGCACAGGTTTGGCTTTGGATTTATATCTGAGCCCTGTTCTAAGCACTGGTGCCCACAATAGTGCCGGGAGTTATTGGTTCCATTTTATGGATGTGGAAACAGAGGCACAGAAAAGTTAAGTCCTTTGTCCAGGGACAGGAAGGGGTTGAGGATCTGGGTCAGGAGCCCAAGTCCATGCCTGGGACCCCTCAGGTCCAAGGAGCTGGCTAAAGGCTTCCTTCAGGTCTGCTCACTCAGCCCCTGCCCTGCGAGAACCACCAAGACTGGAATTTGCTTTGCTTTCCGGCCCTTGCTCATCCCAGACCCATGGGATTCAGTAAATGTCCGATGGATGCATCATAACAGCCAGAGGGGTCAGTGGACATCTCTGAGCACTGGCTTTGTGCGGGGAGCTCAGAGCTGGTCCCAAAGTGAATCCCTCCTGGTGTTTACAAGGGCCAGGGCCCTCAGGGCAGAGACACCAGGAGAGGGAGCTTGTTGGGGAGGTGGGTGCAGGGACCAGGCTCCCTCCCAGGGGCACACTGTGCCCACCTGGAAGAAGGTGGGGCTGGGACTGGCAGAGGAAGAAGAGGCGGCGGTGGCATCCGTTCTGGCTGGGAGCCCAGAGCAGGCAAACGTGTGGCGTGCCTGGAGTCAGGAGCCATCTGCGGGTCAGCAGCTGAGCAGTATGTCATGGGACAGAGGCAGGGCATGGTCTCAGGAGGGTAGGAGGTAAAGTTGAAGGGGGCTGGACCCAAGAGCCCTTGGCAGACAGCCCAGCCCAGGGCCCAGGTGTGGCAGAACTGTGCTGTAGGGGGTGAGCTTGGCGGCAGTCTCTGGGCTGAGAGAGGCTCGGTGGCGAGGTGGGGAAATTGCTCACCGGTGAACCCCAAAGCCGACAGTTGGAACCCACCAGCCCCTCCACACGGGACACATGAGGGAGTCTGCATCTGCACAGATTTACAGCCTCGGGCACCCCATGGGCACTTTGACTGCCCTGTGGGGTAGTTAGAGTTGGAGTCCACTCCCGGGCAGTGGGGTTTTAGGACCCTGGGGGGAGGTGAGGACCCGAGTAGGTCGTAGGGCAACTTACTGGCCCGAAGGCGGACTTCCAGGGGTTCCTGAAGCGTGTTCTGCACGGCTTCCACGAGGCTCTTGAAGAGGCTCTTGACGGGCTCGAAAGAGAGGGCCACGGGGTGGCACAGCTCCCCCACGCTCATCTGCTGCTGCATCTCCTGCTTGGCGGCCGAGTACGCCTGTGAAGGACCGACGGACGCCCGAGGTCAGGGCCGCTCCCCGCCCTGCAGTGGGGTCCCGGCCTCCCCCACGCACCCAGCCACAGGGGCGCGCCCCACCCGGCCCTGGAACCTGCTCTCACCTCCTCCCTGGCGGTGCGCAGTCCTGGGGGGACCACACTCTGGGAGAAGCTGGGTGGAAGGCTTCCCAGCCCAGACGCTGGTGGCCCCTCCCTCCAGGACCCCTCCCTCCCTTTCACACCCATTGATTGGGTCCTAGTCCAGAGCAGGCATTGGGGGGCAAAGGGAGGAGTCAGACCGGCTGTTCTGGCCCTGAAGATACAGGGGAAGAGTGACGGCATGCCCAAGTCCTGTCCCCCTATATTCAAGCACCCTGGGGCCATCTCTAAGTTGTGCCTCCCTCCAGTTTTAAGGTGAAACGCTGTTGAGAGGGACCAAGCCGTGGCAGAAACGACTGCCTGGTTTATGTCTGGCTGCCTCAGCCACACCTCCTCCAGCGCGCCCCCTTGGGCTTGTGCCCGGAGAAAAGCGCCCTTCTGAGCCCCCCACCCAACCCCGTGCCTCTGCCTAGGTACCAAATCGCCACAGCCTGCTGCGCTGTCACCTCCACGCAGTCTTCCGGGGCCATACAGTACCAGACCTTCCTGCGGCACACCTGCTGCCCCGCTGTGGGCTCCTAGTAGGGGAGCTCTGCTCAGCGTAAGCCGCTCAGCGTCCGTTAAAAGAGGGAGGAGGATGATGAACACTGGTAGCTTTGATAGACGGTGCCAGAGAGTAAAAGGAATAAGGCCATAGTGGCGACTCTGTGCCTATGATGTCAGAAAACTGTTTTTCTCCCCCCAAAAGAGGTTGTTCGTGTTCAGTCGCACTGAAAATGACCATTACTTAAAGAGGTGCAAAGGAACCCCTTTGTGCCCGTCGCCCTCCAAGAACACAGCGCTATTGCCTCCAGAGAACACGGCACCTGGATATCAGCTGACATAACGGAGCAAGAGAATTGGCTGGCTCACCTAAAGGTGATGCACAAGGTGAACTCCACCCTGGGGGCCTACTTGCCTCACTTACTATACAGAGTCCATGCTAGGCTGTGGTTAGACTCTGCACCGCCTTTATTAAATTGAACCCATAACATGTCTTGCCCCATAAGCCCATAGCATGTCTTGTCCCATAAGCCCATAGCATATCTTGTCCCATAGCATGTCTTGCCCCATAAGCCTCAGCATGTCTTACAAGGTCACCGGATGTTGTACGAGAGAAGACGAAGCAGAGAGAAGACCAGAGCAAACTGGCGGCCAGAGTGAGATGAATTGCAGAATGTCGCCTTATTGGAAGTGTATTTGGTGCTCAGCTTTCCAGAAGGCGTGGTAAAGAAGGGGACGGGAAGAGACAGGTGAGTGGAAAGCCACCACTTGCCCAGAGATGGGACAGAAACACCACCCTCAGCCATACGACACTCCCAGGGGCCTTTTCAGGGAATCTCCTTCAACCCAAGGTAATGACTTCCAGCAGAGCCCGGCGGCCTCCCTCCCTTGAACCAGCTCGGCTCACTTCAAGTGGAGTGCCTTCCCAGAAGGCTGTCTCAGTAGTCACTGCAATGGCCGAGGGATGAGCCCTGCCACCGTGGGGACTGAGGGTCAGACAGATCCGGGTTCCCACCCACCTCTGCCACCGGAAGTCACAATTTCTCATTAGTAAGATGGGGTTATGAGATCCACCCGGAAAAGTTCTGGTAAATATACAACTAAGGCACAGAAAGGGCTTGGCACATGTTTGGTTGTTGTTGTGTGCCATCAAGGGTGCCCTGGTGGCCGCACGTGGTTACTCACTGGCTGCTAACCACAAGGTCATCAGTTCAAGCCCACTATCTGATCCTCGGGAGAAACGTGAGGCTTTCTATTCCTTTGAAGAATGGCAGTCTCAGAAACTCACAGGGGCAGGTCTACCCTGTGCTACAGGGTTGCTATGAGTCTGACTCGACCTGATGGGGTGAGTTGGGGTGGGTTGGCATGCCATCAGGTTGATTCCAATTCCCAGTGAATCTGTAGGTCGGAGCAGAACTCCCTTACAAAGTTTCTTTATGGGAGCCACCTGCCACATCTTTCTCCCACGGAGTGGGCTGCTGGGTTTGAACTGCTGATCTTTGGGTTAGTAGCCAAGATGTGCCATCAGGGATGCTTGCTGGGAACCCAGAGGTCCTGCCTATCACTACTATTAATCAGTTCAAGATGCATCTTATTTTTCTAGCTATGTAACATTTTGCTCTCTTGTGTGTGTGGAGACAGAAGTCTACATGCTGGCACGGCGAGCCTCTGTGTATCCCCTTCAGTGTGCAAATATCGTATCTAATGCTACTGTCACCAGGCTGAGGGGCCCTGGGGCTTCCATGGCAGACTTCTTGTTTTCTGGGAAGGAGATCTGAGTCTGATTCCTGGCCAAGTCACACACAGTGCTCCACCACCACCGCCACCACCACGCCTGCGTGGCAGTCACTACGCTGATGAACAGGGTTCAGCAGAGCTCCCAGACTAAGATGGGCAAGGGAGAAAGGACTGGAGTCTGCTTTGGAAAATCAGCCAATGAAAACCCCGTGATCCACAGTCAACCCTGGCGCCCGTACAGAGCCAGGCAGCATCTCACTCTATGGCACACGGGCCACCTGACTTGGGGAGCAGTGGGACGGTAGGTAATAACCCCTCCCCCCACTTCCATCACTCCCACTCCCACAGCTGCGACAAAAGGCTGTAGCAGGTGGCAGTGGTGAGGAGAAAAACCCCGAGTCACCTGCAGCAGTTGGAAGGGATTGGTCTCCTGGCTGATAGTCCAGACGCGGTGGGAGAGGTCGTTCAAGACCTTGATGTGCTGCCCTCGGGACTCCGTCTGCTGCTTGTACGCCTGCAGGGCAAGCTGCGTGTTTCTATCAATGAATTTCTTGGCCAGTGCTTCCTCCTCATCAAGCAGCAGTCGCAGTTCTGTGAATTTCCCTGCCAGCCAGGTTTTACTTGAGTCTGCGTGAGCCTGCAAAGAAAACCCGAATGGCACACGACAGGACGGTCAACCTAGAAACTCCAGGAGAGTCTCACACACACACACACACACACACACACACACACACCATCTAAAAAGTGAATTCAGCAAGGTGGAGGTCAAATATTTTTTTAAACCCAAAACTTCCCTAAGGACTGGTTATAACCACATCTGAAAATACCTGGAAGAATAAAGATCCTCCTTAAAGCCGGGAAAGAAAATTGATTGCAAACTATCTAAACATAAACTTTACCCAAGCCGTGAAGACCTAGACAAACCAAAGCCTAAATGGTACAGAAACCAGTTTAAAGTAAGTACTCTGAGAACAGGGAAGCACAAATCATGTTGCTCGCTCGGAAGCGTTATGATGATAAGGTGGTATTGGTCCCCAGCTTTACCTGTAAATTCAATGTAATCCCAATCCAAACCTTAACATGTGGGTTAAAAACCGTTAAATTGTGATAGGAAGGAGTAGGCGCCATAAAGGGAAAAAGAAGCATTAAAAACAAGATCCACAAAGGAGCTGATCTGATAGATATTAGAGCATACTGTAAAGCCACACTGCTTCAAACCACGTGTCTTTTGACCCAGTCTCTATCTAGCTCTTGGTGGACCAGGGCATGTGCTACAGACTACTGGAATCTTGGACTCTGTCTTTCAGAGCCCTCAACATCCTTCCTAGGCCACAACAGAAGGCCACAACTCAATGTGGAAATCCCGATAAGTGAGCTGAGCTTTACCTCAAACTCCCCTGTAGCCCTTGGACTTAAGGCTAAAACTGCCTAGTGTGGGAAGAAGCATATGGCTGCTATCCTGAGGTACAGGACTGGTGGTTGTCAGGGAAGCAACAAAGCCCACACGGAAGAAGCACACCAGCCTGTGTGATCATGAGGTGTCGTCGGGGGGCAGGTATCAGGCATCATAAGACCCAAAACAATCATATTGATGCAAATGAGATGGGTCAGAGTGGAGACCCAAAGCCCATCTGAAGACAATTGGACATCCCTCACAGAAGGGTCACAAGGATGGGATGAGCCAGCCGGGGTGCAGTATAGAACTGAGGAAACACGACATTCCTCTAGTTCTTTAATGCTTCCTCCCCCTGCCACTATCCTGACCCCAATTCTACCTTACAAATCCGGCTAGACTGGAGCATGTACACTGGTGCAGATAAGAGCTCTCGACACACGAAATCCAGGAGAGATAAACCCCTGAGGAACAATAATGGGAGTAGCGATACCATGAGGGTAGGTGGGGGGAGAAAGGGTGAACTGATCACAATGATTGATGTATAATCCGCCCCCGCCTCCAGGGGGACAAACAACAGAAACTTAGTTGAAGGAACACAGCGGATGGTGTAAGATATGAAAATAATAATAATTTATAATTTATCAAGGGTTCATGAGGGTGGGAAGGTGGGGAAGGGCGGGAAAAACAGGAGCTCATACCATGTATGGATTGTTATAAGAGCCCCCAATAAAATGATTTATATATATATAAAAGAACTGGGGGCCGTTGGACTTTGGTCAGGTCTCTTGCCTTGAGGGTGCCCAATGAATGTTGGCCCGGGACCACCGCATGCTATTTTAATGCCCTCCTTACTAATAATACTTCCTTACTACCGGTTTGAATCTGGTAGGCACGGTTCCGTCTTTGTCAATGTATGTATGTTATTGAACATTTTGCCCTCTCACCCACCCCCATTGTTTATGTAAATAGTGTCCTAATAACTTGAAAGTTTAAGCTGTAAAAGTCAATCGTTCATGTGATGCAAGATGTGGCCAGCCTGCACTTGTATTTCTTTTTCTCAACAGTGTTTTAAATTCCAGCCTGCACTTGTATCATTTCCTTTTCTCAACAGTGTTTTAAATTCTATACCTTTGGCTAAATTAATGACACTATCAATAGAATTACCTTATGTCCTATGGGGATGATTTATAATGGTCTCTATCATAAAATGACAGTGGTGTCTCTACAGTCATCAGAGACATATACAAACCATAGCCATAAAATGAATTTTGGGCTTGCACATCATTCTTATCCCAATCTAACAATTAGTTCTTAGGACATGACCCTGCTTGATGGTTGCCCTCATGAAGAGAACACTGAGGATATGTGTGCTCTAGCAAAGTGTGCAGAAGAAACTAGATGCTGCCCAGCTATCAGGAAGGATAGCTTCTGGGATTTTAAAGACTTGTCTTCAAACAAGCAGCCATGTAAGTGAGGCATCGAGTAGGGCCGCATGGAAGAAGCCACCGGCCTACATGATCCAAGGATTGTAAATAATAAAATCTGAATCCAAAGGAGGAATGGTATCACAGCTTTGATTCTGAGCCTTTGGTGTGCAGAAGGCTATGGAGGACAGTGGACGCCGAAGTCCATGTGCAGGGCCCACCCAGGGAGTAAGCCTCCCGTGAATCCTCCTTGACCACAGTCCAGGGATGTGAATAGTCTTATTATCAGATAGAGGTAGTGTCATTAATTAAAGTTGATGATGGCAGATGTAATTAAAATATCATATTTATCATTTGATCTCCCTATTGACACATTTTGGAGCCCTGGTGGCATAGTAGTTACAAGTTGGGCTGCTAACTGCAAAGTCTGCAGTTCAAAATCACCAGCTGCTCCTCGGGAGAGAGACGGAGCTTTCTACTCCCACTAAGAGTTACAGTCTCGGAAACTCACAGGGGCAGTTCTACCCTGTCCTATAAGGTTGCTAGGAGCCTGCAGGGACTCGATGGCAGTGAACAAAGTGCCTCTTTTCACCTTGCAATGCTTGCCGTCTGCCTGGGGGGACTTCACGGGTTTTGGTGGGGCTCTAGGGTTACCTCGAACTCGCAATGTGACCAAAAATAAACTATTTCTACTTCCTGAGCCTTGGTCTCCACCCCATCTTTGAGGGCCTTTTGAGTCTGACAGCCTAGACCCATTCAAAATCCCTGCATACATCTGGCGGGCCAATCTTCTGGGTTCAACAGTGTGCAGCTTCACACACACACACACACACACACACACACACACATGCGCGCGCCAATCTTCTGGGTTCAACAGTGTGCAGCTTCACACACACACACACACACACACACACACACACAC